AGAGGTCTGAGAACGGAGAAGAGGGAAGACGAAAGGAAGAAGAGGAGAGACTCAAACCTCGAGCGAAGAGACAGATAAGGCAAACTAGAAGAAAAACAGATATGAGAACAGGAGGAGAAACTACGGAAGAAGAGAAGAATACACGGAAGAGAACGAAAGAGAGAGAGAAATAGAACGTAATAGAGATAGACAGAGGGGAGGGGAGGGGGAGGAGATTCGAGGAGAGGAGAGAAGAGGAGGAGAGGAGGCAGAGGGCAGTTAGATCGAGTAGACTTTGGACTCCGTGGGTCCGTGCTCGGTGATGAGTTGGCAGTTCTCTTCCTCGTGGATGATCTGCCACGTGGCGCTCTGCTCGGGGTCGTAGGTCAGGGGCATGCCGCGGAGGCCCATGCTCTTCTGGGGCTTGTTTACGCTGCGGGGCCAAGGGGGGGGGCACCGGGGGCACAGGGGGGAGGGGGAATGGAGGAAGGGATCGAAGGGGGGGGGGAGGATGAAGAAGTGGGGGGGATGGAAGGAGGGTGTTGGTGGATCAAGAAAAAAGTGGGGTGGAGAGGGAAGAAACGGGAGGAAAAAAAACGAGAAGAGAGTGTGAGAGAGACAAAGAGAGAGAGATAGGGTAGAAGGAGGCAATGCAACAATAGCCAAGAAACCAAGATTTGCAAACACGGTAAGAAACAAACAGTGAAAATGATAACGAAACAAGATAATCAAAACAAGGCAAACAAGTAAAAAATCCCAAATACACAAAAAAAACAGAATTAGTCATATAAAAACCACGGCATTGCATGAAACATATCAAAATAGCCCAAAGAAAAGATAAATGCATCATGCAAATCCACGCCAGCGAATAGCGATCAACAAACACAAAAACAAAAACAAACAATGAAAACAGGCATTCAGTATTATGGGTATTGAGATATAGAGTTATTGTTGCAGCGAGTTAAAATAGATAAAAAAGGTGGTTTTTGCGAGCGGTAAACGAGCGGGTATAAGGGGTGGGGGTGAGGGGGGGGTGGGGGGCATTGGTATTTGTCACGCGAGGGTTCAATATATCCAAAAAAATAATATTTGTATAGTGAGACGTAGCGTCGATTTCACGACGTCGTGGGCGGATTCGGTGCGGGCGTAGTAGAGAGAGATGCATGGCGTTGCAGGCGGCGATTTTTTTTTTTTTTTTTTTTTTTTTTTTTTTTTTTTTTTTTTTTGAGTCACAGGCAGCCAGCCAGCGACGAGGGAGAGCAGCGGGAATTTCGAGCCGCCAGCCACGACGCCGACAGAAGGAGGAGATAGAGAGAGCGACACGAGATTAGTGTGCTTGACTTGTGCCAGAAGCGGGAGAGAATTGAACAAACAAGAAAACAGATGAAAATGAAAAAAAAGTGAAATATACATTTGCTGGAAAAGGAATTATCCGTGAGAGAAGCAGGGCTAGAGCTCGGTGGCTGTAGCGGTTTCATATGTGAGTATAGACATATAAATATACATACAAGTATAAATTCTATGTATGCATTAATATATGTAAACATTTGATTACTTCTATCTCTCCTCGCGCATCCAAAAGTCTCATGGATGTCTTAAAATTCACACTATTCACACTCAGCCCTCAGCCTAGCCTTACCTTCACATCTTCACCCTCACTTTAGAAAAAATAGAAATAAAAAAATATCCTCTGTCATGACTCTTTCATGGTTTAGGCCTACCACACGTCAAAGAATGAAATCCGGGGCACATCCCTTCAATGAACTCGTAATCAAGACGCCCTGAGGTAAATGAATGCATGAGAAATTAAGGGAAAATGTGTTACATTCTCGGAGACGGTTATGACTGATGTGCTAAGACTAAAAAAAAAAGAGAGAGAAAACGTAAAAAATAGGGAAGGGGGGGCAGGGGGGGTTAACCAGTGATCATGTCCTAATGTAGAAGTTCTTGTTTTCCTAAACGTACACTTACAAGGGTGGTTAATGTACACAATTCCGTTGTAAATGATACTCCTGGAAGCGTATAAACACGGACTATGTGTCAGTCGTTACATTGTACACCAGAAACCTACGTAGTGAAAACAGAGGTTCAAAAATAATTTCAATAGGGTTACATGGCGCGGCAAGAAAAAGGAAAAAGAAAGATTCTTGAGAACAAAGAGACAAAGAAAATAGCACAAAAATGTTTTTAAAATAGGTGTCTGGGTTTTAACTTTCTCGTTTTATATAAGTTTTGCTTGTTTGTTTTTGTTATTAAATTACATATTATCATTAATTGCATTCACATAATTATGCAACAGTATTTGATAGCAGTAATTACCGAACTGTGTACCCTATATCCTGTAAGGTAAATAAAAAGTGTATTACATACCTAAATATAACCATTATATGTACACTTTGGCCCTAAACTATTTCATTCTCAATTGAAAGAAAACAAATATATAAATACACAGATGAATGTGCATCCAAAGCCAATCTATCAAAACATGCACTTTTTATTTATCTTTTAATAAGGACCACAC